CGTACGAACGCCCCGACCTATTCCGTTGACACAAGACAACCAAGGGGTACAACCAAACACTTCAGATGTTGGGTTATGTCTGTTGGTGGAAGATCAAAGGATTAGTATGTTCATTTCCACAGTTTTGTTTACATAGTTTAACGGCCTACTGAAGGGTATCTGTATCGTACACATATTGCTCTGACGAAAACGTGCTAGTGTCACTATCCTAGCAATTCACTGCCAATACCTTGGCTGTATCCAGCCAATACCCTGGGGAGTACCTGGTTATACCTGGCGAAACCTTGAGTGGGGTTTTACGCCTTCTGTTGCAACAGCAACATCACAGACTTGTACTCATATGAGAATAAAACCACGTAGGCTGCATGAGCATGTGCTGAAGTCCTTATGAAATCAGTGGAAGCATAGGATATCTTAACATAATTATGAAATATACAGTAACCGCTGCATGTATATCTTCTCATTTTAGCTTGATAATGATGTAAGAAACTACATCGAAACGTCGCTCTTGCAATAAAGTTGATACCCAAAAAGTTGCATTCTTCGATATTAAAAATGGAAACGAAAAATGCTTAAAACATCTCTCCTGTTAATCCTTCATTCCGGGCGCACCTGAAAACGTACAAGGGGTACAAACGCGTTAGCGCTTAGACACACCCTGTCAATCGAGTAGGCACGGATGCTATCAATCACCAAACGAACATTAACATTGCGGCCAGGACAATGGATAAAGCAAAGTGAAAAAGATATGTTGATGGAGACATTAGTTGTTTTAAGGAAGATTTATACCGCTACTGGCAACATTGATTATCGTTCCTCTGCAATCGTTTACTTCAGTCAGAAACATAGATGACATAAATACGTGAGACAGTCATTTTACGGCGCCATACAATAGTCAAGGTCCTATTTAGTAGGAACTTTCATTTCAATTGCCGCCTCTTCGTTTTCTTATAGGAGATAAATACAGTAAACCACACTTCTAACGAACTGACGGATATAACGAACTAATTTTCCTTTTCGCCCGTCGACTCCTTGAATATCCGGAAACATTCTTATGATGAATTAGAGGGACCGTGTTGACATCTAAATCGTACAACTCATTCGCAGTGCACATTCATTTGGCTGGATTAATTAATATCAATCCGATGAATTTCTGATTAACGCAGGTTCACTAGGTGAGGAAAGTAGAGTTAAAGAGATGGAAGTGAAGCGATTAACAAAGACTGGATGCTGAAGCTGAAGTCAGTGGGTACTGGGTCAGGTCATCATCGCCTTGTAGAGGCAATCTCTTGGATGTGTAGAAAATACAAAATGCACATCTGACAATTATCATGCTTTTTGGCATGTGAAAATAGGCTGTGTGGCAATAATGTACTTAGTCTACTTTATATTCCCCCGAGCAAAGGAGTAGATTGTGCGAAACGACACAAGGGATTGCTAGCCGATTAATGGCCACTTTGAGAAATATGATCTTACTTGTTATGGCTCCAGGCTCAGTCAGCTTCGTCTGATATCCGAACTTCACAATCTCATGTATCACACTAGACTTGCTCAGATCTCTAAGAAATACTTATCACTTTGAATAATAATTTCTGGATTACGTAAATAATACGAACACGTTGTCCTAATAAAAGACTGAGGTCCTTTGTACTGTCCAATTATCTAGACGAGACCATTTTAGGGATAGAATTACTTTACATCCATAGACATTCAGTATAGCCTTGGAGCAAGACTAGTATCAAACATTCACAACCCCATACAAGTTAAAATGGCACTGGTAGAGACTATCCAGCCGTGCCTATTTACACTGATCAGAAGGGTACACAAAGTCCGTGATCTTGACTACCAGTTGTCCGACTGTCATTTTGTGGAATCCGGTGGCTGAGTGGGTTAGACGACTGACTTTGTGTACTGGAGTTTAGGTGCCTGACTCTGAGGGTGTGGGTTCGAATCCCGGATGGGACTCAACCAAACAGAAGTACTAGAAGCTGTACTTTACTGAGAAAATGTCATCCCAAATATAACATATATTACCCAGTGTAAGTTATCACACGAAACCGATTTTAAAGGGCGTAAAAGGCAAAATGCAAAGCAATGTGCCAGTAATCCTTTTCTTAGTGACAGTGTCACATAATATGAAATGAGAAAGTAATAATTTTTTTAGTGAAAACACCCGTGAAGAATTTGCAACCCATACTATTCGTAAGAGGCGACTAAGGGGATCGGGTGTTCAGATAATGTTATCGTATCCCAAATGCTTAGATCGATGCTCATGCTGTTGATCACTGGAATTGTCTTGTCCAGACTCGATTTTTCACAGGCCGCCGCCATATAGGTAGCTGGAATATTGCGGAGTGCAACATCCAACCAACCAATTATCTTCAAAAGGACACCCATGTCAGACAACCCAGTATGGAATAAACACACCATGCCACAACCGACGGCTACATCCACTGCATCACACAAAGACTGCCTGCAGGGTTGAAAGAACACCTCCAACCTCAGTGATACGCACATGTCCTGCTAATGAGACCAGAGACTATGGGTTGGTGTTCTGCCATCAAACTCTGTATATTCTGTGATGACCTTACGGTAACTATGCCTTTATATTTGATGTATTTCTTCACGAAGCCAATTTCCCCCATCAAGCCCCGTTTCAACAAGTTTCATAACTTCATATTGTCTCAGATTTCATAGCTTCCACAGCTTGAGAGATGGAGACAAACCGCAGAACGTTGTTTATCCTTTAGTCGAAGCCTCAACGATTGCGTACATTTCTCAAGAGTAAATGTAACACAAATAAGCCAGGTATTGAGTGAATAAAGTTACAAGATTCAAAAGTTGTCATCTATAATTGAATTTGGAGATTTTCGGTCTTTGAGGCATCCGTGCGGTTGCTATGTTCCATTGCTATGTTCGTCCCCGCTGATTTCAACACTACCTCGTATCTGCATGACAGTACATATTCCACCTTGACAACTGCAATACACCTACTTTCTGTTTTAGTTTATGTTTCAGAGTCGGGGGCTTCAGTCCTGGATCCTAACCAACCCCACCTCCCCCTTCTCTACCCCCGGTTTCACGACCTCAAGCTCGAACTTTTTATATCTTTCAGGTCTCATTAAGGTTACGAGAGTAAGTCATAGAGAGTGTGTAAGTACCGTCACACTCGGCAGCTAACTGATCAATATAATCAGCCAGTTCCTAGGCAATAGCTTGTATGTGTTCCCAAAACTGGGAAAGCCCACTACTACGCCTTGATCAGAAACGTATTATCCTTACTTCCGGTTGACTGAGCAATGAGTGCGCATGATTTACGCGATAATAGTCCCATAATATCATGAAAGCTGGTTGTTAGTATTCCGTGTTAAAGGAGTCACAACTGTACATGTAAACAATGTGAATCTTCTAGTTTCAAATATAGAAACACATTTGAAGTTTTTGTTGTTTTATTCTAAATACAGAAAATATGTTCCCAAAATGGAAACGTTTGGAAAAGTTGGATTCGAAACAAATAGGTTCAATTCAAACACCACGCCTTAAATTAACATGGCCCTTAATGACATGAGTTTTCGTATGGAAAATGGATAAGGAATGCCATGTTCATACAAGATATGAATGTATAAAATAACAGAAAGACCCCACGCATTCACGATTGAGGACAGAAAACTGAGAGCTTTGAGCTTATTCTCAGATTATAATAATGTAACATATATTTATAATGGCTGTATTAAATCACCCGAATCAATGTCTTGGTCACGAATCCCCGATAGAGTGAGTGAGTATGGTTTTACGTCGCTTTTAGCACTATTCCAGCAATATCACGGCGGTGAACACCAGAAATGGGCTTCACACATTGTACCCAAGTGGGGAATCAAACCCGGGTCTTCAACGTGCCGAGCGGACGTTTTAACCACAAGGCTACACAACGCCCAATCCCGATAGAATCTGACTAGAAAACTTAATCATTTTACAACATGACCAGCACCCCTTTCCTTCATCATGACACGATACGACTGCAACACCATTCTCAGCGGCGTAAAACAATTTCTTAAACTGAGCTCCCCCACCGCGCCGCTCATTTTCACAAGGAACTCCAACACGATTCAGTTCAAACCATCAGAGAACTAATACATAAATATTGAAGGATAGGCGAGGCACACCTTGGTCATTACAACCATCCTCAACTATCAGCTGAAACATTACCACATCACGCTGATACGATAAACTGGTGGAAATTAGACTTCCACGTGAAGCGCATTGATACGTACGTCTACCTCATACAAAACACACATTCAAGGGACCAAATGCAAGTATTTTACGTACGGTTCTTACATTTTCTTAAAGCGACGAGACTGTCATTCACCGTTTGAAATTAACGTCGGTCCTCAGGCCCGAAGCCGACTGAAAATCACTCTGACCCACAGTTTTTGTTTTCTGCAGGTACTTATGGCCGACAGCTTTTTCATCCCCAATAACTAAGTGTATTATTTTTCAGAAAATATCATTCAGTAATTTCTAGTTTTTATCTCGACCAGCAGCTGTTGTCTGTAAGTGATGACAATCATTTTCGTGGAAGCAATTTAGATCTGATCTTTTAACCTGGAACAAGTTATCCAATGCACTGCTTAGACTAGTCAGTCCCAAGAGTTAAATTAAACTCTTTAACTCAGTTTGTTAGTCGTCACATTTTTGTTTACCGGGAATTACTTATATTGTACATAGATAAAATATGGGGTCTACACATTCTGATCACTCCCCACAGCTTTGTATGGCTCTGGCTCCTTGGGGGCTGCAGCTTTTCAGGGTTAAGGACAAACGCTGCTGTCACGACTGAACACGTAGGCACAATACTGACACGATTTATAAATACAAGGTGTTTATATATACCGAGACTACGTAAAATTACACCAGCTATTGTAGAAGGCTATCATTAATCTTAAGGAGAAAGCGCAAAGTAATCAACTGAATAATTGATTAATAAATAAAAGAGACTCATAAAACAGAAGACTATGTATTTATTGCATAATGCTGAGCATCATTGTCTTGGCAGATCAATTATTTACATGAGAAGCCATCCTTAACCCAGGCATAAATAGGCCTACCGGGTACCCATCTTTCAGAGCACCGAGTGAGTGAGTGTAGTTTTACGCCGCTTTTAGCAATATTCCAGCAATATCACGGCGGGGCACACCAGAAATGGGCTTCACACATTGTACCCATGTGGGGAATCGAACCCGGGTCTTCGGCGTGACAAGCCAACGCTCAGAGCACCGAGATGTCGTGGACAGTATATTTGACAATGAAGACGAAACATGGTCATTATCACAGAACTGGTAGGGATGAGTACTGAGAATTTCAGCAATACGCCAGCAATATCACAGCAGGGGAAACCAGAAAAGGGCTTCACACACTGTACCCATGTGGGGAATCGAATTCGGGTATTCGCCACTTGAACCACTTGATTACCCCACCGCCCAGACGACTGGTGCCGGATCTGGTGCTAGTCTCTACAGACTGGCCACGGAACCAAAATATGGTAATAACACTGTCACTAGCTGTACGCAGTCCACTGGTCAGTGTTAATACAATGGAACTATAATTCCAGCCTGAGGTATAACAACGGTAGAAGAATCAGCAGACCTTGATGATCTCCAGTGCATTTTGCGATAATTACTTTTCACCCCCGGGTGAGAATCCTGAAAAATCCTAAATTGTCATTAAATTAAAAACAACAACACCACATTACAAAAAATACCAAAGTGTCTCTAGGCTGAAAATAGTCCCCGAAATATAGCAAACCTCTGATACAAAACACGTCATTAATACCCAGATGAAATTCTTCACCACAATAGCTTCTTAGTCCATGTTCGCCATACTCAAACGTGATTGCATCTGTTACCTAGCAGCATAGTTACTTTGTCAACATTATGAGACAATGACAGTGTGATGATTACATTTTCCAAGCACAAAAAGAATCTCTGATGAAGAGTGATCATGTTACTTCAGATGTTCGTGTAGTGATCAGTCAGTGATTATCACTTCTAGTGTAACTGCAACTGAAGCTGTCCATGCTAGCAGGTCATCACATGTACGTGGACTGACCGCCGATATCTGCGGCGGGTTTTGGTGCCGATCCTATGGTGTTCCCTGGAAGCAATATAAAATTGTCTTGTTATACTGATAATAGCAATAATATTTTGACATTGTGTACGGGGTGAGAAAACATCAACACTACAAAAGATCAGACTGAAGATGTCAGCGAATTGATATCATGTTGCCTTGACAGCTAAAGGGAAGTAACTCTTCAGTGTTGAAGTAATTCCGGATTGGGCGCAAATAGACCTTACATCTGGTCCAAGTCGCCCTAAACTATACCACCACCAGCAGTAAGTCCGGAATGCAAAGCTGAAAAATTCGTTCAAGATCCATTTTTACAAGAACTACTGTATGAGTTGTTTGTGACTCGCGTCCACCTGCAGCGAGTTGATGTGGAATGGCGCTTAACCTGGCTTGTATTGGCCTGAAATACATGCCGGTGTTAGAAGAGAGAGACACCATGCTGAAGTGTAACAAGGATTCAGACACAGAAAACCTCCAAGAGACCAGTCCATGGCTTATCAACTAAATGCCAGCGACAGGCAGGGTATCAATAAGCACCAACCTTTAACACATTTTGGTAATACGTGGCCAAGGAATCGAACACCTACTATCCACTCTGATAGCAGGCGCTCTATCCACTAGACCACGGAGAAGGTTTATGAGTAGGATAGGATACTTACGACCTCCCCAGTAGTCAAACTTTTGGTTCTGTAGAGGTTGCTCGGGTCTGGAACGGATTATCACACAATGAATATCAAACAACACTACCAAATGCAATCTATTTCGATGAGTAGATAATAGGCACTGTAGGCATTGCACCTTGTTTTTATTACTATTTACTAAATGATAGACTAATACTAAAGCACTATAACCATTCTAATACATTCATTCTAATAGAGGTCTGTTTCTCATGATGAAGGTCAACGTCAAACTCACGTTTTTGGTTTTTCCGGAGTTATCTGTCTTGTTTTACGATTTGGCGATGGCGGACTCCAGTAGCTGAAATTAGGATTACCTGAGATGTATACTTTGACTGCACTTTGTTTTAATTGATCAGTTAAAATATAAGCTCGAGAGGGCACCTGCATGATAGCAGTAAAATTGCAAGGGTCAAGAATCAGCAGTTTATTGTATCAGCCATGGGATGCTTGAGAGTGAGTGAGTTTAGTTTTACACCGCACCAAGCAATGTTCCAGATATCTGGTGGCGGTCTGTAAATAATCGAGTCTGGACCAGACAATCACGTGATCAACAGCATCAGCATCGATCTACGCAATTTTGATACGATGACATGTGCCAACCAAGCCTGACCCCCCGATCCCGTTAATCGCCTCTTACGACAAGTATGTGTTACTGAAGATCAATCCTAACCCAGATCTTCACGGGTCCGGGTGGTCATGAACCAAGGCATGCTTCAAAAACACAAATCTGTTGCACCCAACTGATACACTGTATATGAATAACCAGCTTTACTGAACGATACTCACTTTTTCTCGGGTGGTTTAGTAGTTCTGGAAAAGATTAAAGTAACAGATAACACGTTTATCTAGTTTATTAATTATTAAGAAGGTACGCATATATACTCGAAATTCATTAAAATACATTACCAAATATAACTGTTACACGTACAGAAAATGGTAAAATACTATCCATGATGAAATACTTATTCTGCTTGTGTATGTATAGATTAGTGTATTTGTGAAGTACACAGTTGGAAGCTTCAGTTTTATATTCAGGTGTATACATACTGGGTAAGAAGGGTATACAAATTCATTTGGGCTCTGGCTGTTTAGTATTGACGCAGTTGTGTTTGCAAGAGTGTTTGGTATGCCGGCCTGTACCGTTTTTCTGTTACGTCACGTCGTGTCAGTGTCATGTAGGCAAAAAGAGTTGGTGTCGTCTTGGATATTTGCCAGATATGAGAAACCGACGAGCACGGTGGGTATATGCACCAAAGAACATGATCAGAATTCGAACTAACGATAATGGGATGCCCGAGGGAAACGAAATGAGGTGCATTATATGGTTGGGACATCTGTTGAGACCTATTTGTACAGATAGGTAAGCATCATTACTCACACAGGGGGTTTGGTAGCCGCGCTTGTACTAGGCCCACAGCAAGAGGCGAAGGCCGCCGGACAGCAAGACTTGAACAGGAAGTAGCCAGCGATGAACAGAAGTGGTAGAAGAAGACACCCTATGACAATAGCGGCAATCACCCCAGCATCAAGAGTGCCGCTTGAGGAGGATGTTACTGAAAGAAGAGCACAGGTCACTTCCAATAATTGTTACAATTTCTATTGCGTATGACTCGGAACCAGTTAGCCAATGCAAACAAGAAGCAACATACAGATTTATGGGGATTGTTATGTCATTAATTAAGATAGGGGACATTTAACAGTAACGCCATGTCTCCTTAAAGCTTGGCTACATTGCTGTTCTTTTCACGTTGATAGTGAGATAAATAGACAGAAGTACTTTTGTGGAAAATGGTTGCATGGCCATATTTCAAGATACGTTCCATGTGTAGTTTGGGCTCAATTATTTCACATTTCTTAACCCCTCTATACAATTCCATCATTTGACCCCTGTTCGTTCCCTTCCCGGTGTCAACACTGCAGTATGACATACCTGAGGTGCCACTTGCAGAGGAAGAGGAGGACGAAGAAGACGATGAGCTTGAGCTCGAGGAGCTGGAGCTAGAAGAGTTGGAAGTACCAGTATTACTACCGTTGACAACGACGGTGGCGACTGTTGTGGGACAGACCGACGAGGCTAAGGTGACCGTGGCAGGTACCGCACTTCGTAGCGGCCCTGGGATTGTGCCACGGTCCGTGGCAAATACCGTCAGGCTGTAGCTCTGGCTGGCTGCAATCAAACCATTGGCGTGTATGGTTCCATCAGTACTCACACACAGAGGACCATTACACGACCCGATGAATTCAACGATGTTGTTGCCATTTCTGGCAGAGTCTTGGTCTGTGGCAGAGATCGTGCCTAAGACTGAGTTGAGTATGGTGCAACCTGTGACGGAGAAAGTGTGACTTGTCTGGGTGATGACAGGAGCGTTGTCGTTGATATCGTCGATGATCATCCTCACTGTTGAGTTAGCAGTGGCCCCTGCACGATCTGTCACTTTGATGACCAGTGTGACGTTCTGGGGGTCCCTCCCCTGGTCTACGTCATATGTCCCTACGGATATGATGTTTCGCGTTAATTGGTCGATGCTAAATAGATTGTTGTCATTACCCGCAATTATCTCGTAGGTGTGGGTGTCGCCAAAGTCGTCATCAATCAGGAAGGTAGAATACGCCGTGTTTATCTGAAAACGTTGTTGTGAAATCAAGCTGATGAGTTTTGTCAATGGTAACGACAAACACCTGAGTTTGATAAACATGCAATAGCGTCATAAATATTTGAGAATATATGCTCTGAGACATGGACGATACCAACATAGAGTAAACAGTCAGTAGGTTCAGTTTGGTGCAGGACTAGAACATGAGCAATGCGAGAGAAGGGTAAGAGGGGATATTTTCTGGGATCAGAGCATTGATGGATTAATGCTCCAAAGATTAAGGAAATGCAGGTCACACCAGAAGCTTTGTTCGGGATATCTTGAATTTGACTTTGTTATTCAGTATTAATAGATGAGAACATACATTGCCCTCGTTAACCGCCGTGTACACAAGTTCAGGCCGAAGTTTAGGAATGTCGTTGACGTCAGTGACCCTGATGAAGAGGAAGTGTCCAACCGCTGATCTGCAGTACTCGTTGTAGGGGAAGATCGAGATGTTGATGTTCTGGAAGTTGGCGTTCTCGAAGCTCGGCTCATTTACAAGATTCAGATCATTGTCTGGAGTGAACATAAGGAGTCAGTGATAGGTACAAAAGTACATGGTACGGCTTGTGTAGGTGTAGGACCATCAGGAAAGCGTTATAACTTTATTACTGGATATATAAATATTGATAATGTTATCTAAATAAAAGCGTCACAGTTTCTTGTACTAATAACACAAAGAAGGACCCGTCAGCTTCTAGGCATTCGGATGATTTCCAGAAAATAGAAACCTAAAATAAAACTTTACATGTAGCGACAGGTACATAAAGCATGGTAACAGTTAGATGGTTTATGAAGTCTGGTACCTAGAGACAGGTACATAAAGCATGGTAACCGTTAGATGGTATATGAAGTCTGGTACCTAGAGACAGGTACATAAAGCATGGTAACCGTTAGATGGTATATGAAGTCTGGTACCTAGAGACAGGTACATAAAGCATGGTAACCGTTAGATGGTATATGAAGTCTGGTACCTAGAGACAGGTACATAAAGCATGGTAACCGTTAGATGGTTTATGAAGTCTGGTACCTAGAGACAGGTACATAAAGCATGGTAACCGTTAGATGGTATATGAAGTCTGGTACCTAGAGACAGGTACATAAAGCATGGTAACCGTTAGATGGTATATGAAGTCTGGTACCTAGAGACAGGTACATAAAGCATGGTAACCGTTAGATGGTTTATGAAGTCTGGTACCTAGAGACAGGTACATAAAGCATGGTAACCGTTAGATGGTATATGAAGTCTGGTACCTAGAGGCAGGTACATAAAGCATGGTAGATGGTATATGAAGTCTGGTACCTAGAGACAGTTAGATAAAGCATGGTTACCGTTAGATGGTTTATGAAGTCTGGTACCTAGATCAAGTTACTGTACATTTTATTAAAAGGAATAGTATTTGTAGCAAACATTTGAAGAACGATCACTACTAACAGATGATTGGTAATAACTATAAACCAACACGAAGTACAAAATTATTTTAGCAATTTAGATAGTATTACACGCAACATAATCATCGTCATGAACTGGCTATACGCACTGATGCAAACTTTTATACATGTAGCTGTTTGTTCTGTGGTATTTGTAATGTATGAATACGTTATTGATGCTCGTGTTTGTCTGACGTACAAACAGTATGTCTCTTACTCTGACTCACAGTTCTACAATGCTAAAGCGTTAAATGAAGCAAGTCTAGATTTCCCCAGGTTCAGGATCTCCTTTTTCACTAGACTTCTTTTCAGTTTAAAAGGAATGGTTTGTTTCTATCATAATATATTCCGAGACTAAGCGATTATCTAGATACCACTGTGAAACACAGCTAGATTAGATACAATTTTGTGTCATGATACTTATAAATATACACTCATTTATTTACAATAAAATTAGATTTATTCCGGTAGCATCACGGCATGTAATATAAATCATCACGATAATGATTCCGATATCAGATGATTACCACTTTAATCAAACCCTCGAGAAGAGGTACATACGTATGGTGCGTAAGTGTCTGGCTTGCGCAAGGGTCGCAACTCATTAAACTTCGGAGCCTTATGATACTGGACCAGGTCACTTACTCTCAATGCTGAAGAGCCACCGTGCGGCCGATGGGATGGTGGAGTAGTCGTATCTGACGATGGGGATGGTCGGTGTTGCCAACATTGTAACGAGCGTCGATGGCAACGCCGTGTCTTCAGGAAGGCTGATGGAGCGGTCTAGATTAGAGACTGTAGGTGCGAGGTAGGGACCTGCATAAGAAGGGGACCATTGTTTTGTGCCAAAATAATGGAAGGAATGAAAATATATATAAATACGTAATATGGTCTTCATGTTACTAACATACAGTAAGTAACTATTATAACGAACTAAAACAGACCAGGTCTTGGAAATAGTTTACCATTTATTAGGTAATACATCCAGCATTGATTTGTTTATCTAATACATGTTTATTCAGTTTCAGGGCGGTGGGATAAAAGTGGGTGGGGTAGTGGTTAAAGCGTTCGCTCGTCACGTCGAAGACCCGGGTTCGATTCCCCACATGGGAACAATGTGTGAAGGCCATTTCTGGTGTCCCCGCCGTGGTATTGCTGGAATATTGCTAAAAGCGGTAAAAAAACTAAACAGACTGACTTAAACAGTTTCACTTTAACAGAACGTTCGGGATAGACATGTTTATGTGATATACTGACTGCCACTTACTAGTGATTAGACAGGTTACAATAGCCGGCCCCACTGGGTTCGATTTGAAATCAGTCACGAACACCTCGAAGGAAATCGTTGAGAGACACAGCATATCCGTTGGAAACCTATTCCGGATGTTGCCACCTGCAAGGTCAAACATAAAACAAACTGAAACAACAAAAAAGCCTGCCGTGAGACACAAAACACGCATACTAAGACAGAACAGCAATACTGAAGCATTAAACACACGTGACGGTGAATAAGACACACATACCACGTACATCATCAATACTTAGACATGATAACAAACACCTGCAGACACCTGTACCTGGACATGAAACACCTGCACTGAGACATAAAACACCTGTACTGTGACATAAAACACGTTTACTGCGACATAAAACACCTGTACTGAGACATTAAAAAACCTGTACAGAGACATAAGACACCTGTATGTAGATGAAACACCTGTACAGAGACATAACACACCTGTACGTAGATTAAAACACTGTATGTACCTGATGAAAAACACCTGCACTGAGACATAAAACACCTGTACTGTGAGATGAAACACACTGTACAGATAAAACACCTGCACTGAGACATAAAACACCTGTACAGAGACATAACACACCTGTATGTAGATAAAACACCTGTACTGAGACATAACACACCTGTATGTAGATGAAAACACCTGTACAGAGACATAACACACCTGTATGTAGATAAAACACCTGTACTTGACATATAAAACCTGTACTGTGACATGAAACACCTGTCCTGTGACATAAAACACCTTTACTGTGACATAAAACACCTGTACAGAGACATAACACACCTGTATGTAGATGAAACACCTGTACAGAGACATAACACACCTGTCTGTAGATAAAACACCTGCACTGAGACATAACGCACCTGTGTGTAGATGAAACACCTGCACAGAGACATAAAACACCTGTACTGAAACATAAACCACCTGTATGGAGTCAAAACACCTGTACTGAGACATAGAACACCTGTACTGGCACAAAAAACATGTACTGAGACAAAACACTTTTACTCAGACAAAACGCCTGACTGTATTGATACGTAAAACACCTGTATTGAGATAAAACACCACCTGTACTGAGACGTAAAACACATGTAGGAAGAATTA